CGTGGATGGTCATTAATTGGTGGGTACTTGAAAATCGAGGTGATTAAGGTCTTTTTAGATTAAATGAATTTGAGTTTAATTGTAGTTTTTGGAAATTGTTTAAAAGCGTCTGAATGTTAAACATTGATTACTGCACATGAAACTCTTGTTATTATCATTAAGTAACATGAATGAGTTGGCCATTTCTTCGAAGATTAATAATGTTCAAGCTCAACATAACAACCCTCGTTGATTACCGCAACCTCAACTAATTCCATAATAGATCCAATTATGTTGGGACATAAAAGAACAAGACAATGGGGAAGGCTCAATGGGTCAAATCAATGAAGAAGATCTATTGATTTTGTGCACAAGGATAGTAATTTCTCAAGTTAGTCTGTCTAATCAAGAATACAAAATCTTTGAATTCAATTAAAATTTTGTACTAAAAAAAAAAGGTAAGTGTTATCGTGAACCACTTCTATAAGTGATTTACAATTTACTAACTGTATTAGTTGTTAGATGTATTTAGTACTCATAATGATAAAAACATTTTGTACACAAATATTTTTTATCTTTTTTTTTTCCCCTCTCGTTCCTCCTTCCCAACCGTTGTTGTCTCCTCACAACAATATACAACAAGATCAGTGTACCCTTAAATTAATGTATCAAATGCATCCACAGGTTAATTGTCATTTGTCAAATAAAGGAAGAACATCGTTAGTAGGCATTTTCATGTTAGTTTCAAGTAAGTCCTAAAAGAGTAAAAGTGCAGATGTAAAATTACATTAGTTCACAATTTTAAAATTATGTGATACTTTAATATATAAAATATTTTTATAATTAACTATCAATTTGAATTAATGAAATGAGATATTAAATAGTTTCTAATTTTTTTTAAAAACTTTGTAGATGTTATTTATTTATTAAAAAATTTTAATTTAACAATTAAATTGTTGACATTTAGTATAGAACATGAACTCTTGAGTGAAATAATATTTAAAAATCTTATTTTAATCTTCTAGATATCAATAACATATTAAAAGTGACAGATTAAGATAACTATATAGTATCAATTGAATTATATGTAATATTTTTACTAATAGGAACATTGGTGGTAGATTTTATGTTACAATATTTGAAAAATTTATAAATAAAATTTGAATATAAAAACTAAAATAAGTTTTTTTGGAAAATTATATAAACTAAAAATATCAATTTTAAATTTGAGAGACTAAAAACATATTTAAATTCAAAATGTTTTTATTATTAATTGTCAAATTGAATTAGTAAAATAAAATATCATTAAAAAATTACATAAACACATATATATACATAATAAAATGATAATAAATAATATCGTTACTGAATATCTTGAACATAAAATTTGTAGGATTAAATATTTGTGAGTGTTCCGATAACAACTCGGTAGTAGATAATTTAACAAGTCCAACAATATTTATTAAGATAACATTTAATATCATCTTTAAAAATGAGTTATGAGCCTAATATAATTATTTAAAAATGACTTATAAGATAATAATTATATTTTTACTTATATATTTTATATTGATCTCATTTAGTCGACATGAGATCTTTGATAAAAATTAAGAGAAGTATTTACTTAAAGTTTATATATATATATATATGT